AGCAACGTAACGTGCCTTGAAGGTAGGCGGAGAACCCGACAGCCATTTCACCCTGAAAATCCACATGCCATTGACAATGTTCGCCCCATGTGGGGAACCTCGTCGACGTAGGTGCCTGTGGACTTCCAGGAAGCGATCTCTGCATCCAGTCTGCCACTTAGAGGAGTATTTACCCGAGATCGCCTCTCTGTAAGAGCGCGGGGTGGGGATGTCAAGTGCATCCGGGTCTCCCTCAGGGGTAAGCAACATGGACGAGAGATGAGGTGCAGTGGCCGCAAGACACCCCAGCTCCTCGTGTCTGTCCTCAAGAACGTCACGACCAAGGGCAACCTCACCCCCAATGGATGGAGGACAGACAGACTCAGACCCAGTAACAAGACTCGCGACGTAGTCGAGAAGACTCCTAGCTGCAAAGTCGACCAGCTCAGTGACTAGGGCAAACGCAGCAGTAGACTCAAAGTTAGGGTCAGTGACGACAGTAGCGAAGAGACGAGTGACAGTAGGACTGGCAGCACGAGCAAGGTCGGTCTCAGGGTCAGGAACGTGCGGAAGAGAGGACGCGGGAGGCTCGAGCAGGACAACACAATGTGGAAAAGAGGAAGGACGAAGTGCCATACTGTGAGTGCCTGGGACAGCAGGAGGACGAGGACGGGCGACACGACGAGCACAAACAGGTGTGGAAGCACGAGTCTCAGGCTCACAACGCTCAGTCAGGGACTCAGTCACCTCAGTGTGAGGAGCAGGAGCAAGCAGCGGGGAGCTAGGCAAAAGTTGTGGCTGAGATTGGTCTGTTGGTGGACACATGAGAGGTGGAGTGAGGCCAGTGGAAGACGGGAGAATAAGAGACTGGCGAAGGATCGAGTCAGGCGGCGGCAGGGACGATTGATGCTGCGGGTAGAAAAAACGGTCGGCGCGGGGCAGTACCAGCAGCTCCAGCTCCTCCAGCACCAGTAGCATGAGCACCTCCAGCACCAGCAGCTCCAGTAGCACCTCCAGCACCAGCAGCACCACGAGCTCCGGCAGCGCCAGCACCTCTAGCAACAGCAGTACCTCTAGCACCTCCAGTGCCAGCAGCTCCAGCAGCACCTCCAGCACCTATAGTACGCGCACCTCTAGGACCAGCAGCTCCAGCACCTCCAGCACCTCCAGCACCTCCAGGACCAGCAGCTCCAGCACCTCCAGCGCCTCCAGTACCTCCTGTACCCCCAGCAGCACCTCCAGCACCAGCAGCACCACCAGCTCCGACAGCTCGAGCACCTCTAATACGAGCACCTCCAGGACTAGCAGCTCCAGTACCTCCAGCTCCAGCGCCTCTAGCACCGGCAACACCTCCAGCACCTCCAACACTAGCAGCACCAGCACCTCTAGTGCCAGCACCTCCAGCACCAGCTGGACCTCCAGGACTAGCAGCTCCAGCACCTCCAGCACCATTAGCACCTCTAGGACTAGTAGCTCCAGCACCTCCAGCACGAGCAACACCTCCAGTACCTCCAGGACTAGCAGCTCTAGTACCTCCACCACCAGCAGCACCTCTAGTACCTCCAGCACCAGCAACACCTCCAGGACTAGTAGCTCCAGCACCAGCAGGACCGTACCCTCCACCACGAGGAGTGCCTCGCCGAACGATCCACACACGAATCGCATGTGGCGAGAGCGTCTCAAGTAGATAAGGCTGCGGTGAGTGTCCAGCTCCAGGACCTCCAGCAGAGTCACCCACAGCTCCGCCGCCACTAGGACTCGCAGCACCCAAAGAGTTAGCACCCCCAATCGTAGCACCCCCAGAACCCTCACCCTCTGTCTCAGCACCCCCAGGCTCAGCACGAGCAGTCTCAGCTCTAGAGTCCACAGCAGCACGTTGCAGAGGCGGCGAAGACGGCCGAGGCGGAAAACCAGGGGAGGTCTCCAAGCGTGGAGAGCGGCAAGTGGCCGCCGTGTCATCAGCGGCGGGGTCACCCCCCTCAGCTGGGCCAGAGGAGTCAGAAGAGATATCCAAAGGCTCAACCAAGGGGGGTGGGTCTGACTGAGACACACCTGAGGGAGCAGGACCTTGTGGGGGGAGGGGGTCTACTGGGGGGGGGACTGGTACCAGGAAGAGAGGTGCTAGGGGGACCCGGTGGGACGTGTGCGGGTGTAGCCTGTAGAAACAGACAGACTCGTCAAAGGTGACGTCTTGGGAGGAAAAGACTCGACGCTCGTGCGGGTGGTAGAATTACCACGGTGGGGCGTCGGTGGGGAAGCCAAGGAAGACGTAGCGAAGTGTGCGAGAGGAGAGCTTGCTCGCTTTGGCATCGCGAACAAGGGAGAGCGCGCCCCAGACCCGAAACACCGACGCATCGCCAACCTTCCCCGTCCACCGAAGTGTGGGCGAGGTCTCTGGCTCAGAGACACGAGGCCAGAGGTTGAGCTGATGCGCACCGTATCGGACCGCAAATGGCCACAAAAAATGGGGAGCAGCAGCATGGATCATGGAGGTGCGAGCAACCTCCATGATCAAGCCAATGCGACGCTCAACAATCCCATTCTCCTTAGGAGAGGCCGGAAGCGTAAACGTCTGAGGAATGCCCTCGTCTCGACAGAACCCCTCAAGGAGGCCAAAAGAGAACTCACCACCCCTGTCAGAGTGCAGACGCAGGACTGGCAAGTCCCGACGAAACCGCCCACGCAGCTGGCGACAAGTAGCAAGGATCCAGGGGATCAAAGCACCGCTGACGTCTGCCTTATGCCGTAAGGGGAAGACAGTGGTGTAGCGTGTGTAGTCGTCAACAACCAGCAGGATGTAGCGCTTCTGGTCCATTCCATCGACGGGGGCCGAGCCCCAAACGTCCATGTGGAGAGTCTGCAGAGGAGCAGTGGTCGGAGGAAACTGGGAGGAGTGAGGAGCGGCGCGCTGCCGCCCCTCGACGCAGGGAAGGCACGGCGGTGCAGGCGAGTGCGGGAGGGAGGGCACGGACCTGGAAAGGCAAGAGACAAGGAGACGGGAGTGCATGCTGTGGAGACGTGGCAGCAAAGGGTGACCTAGGCGGTGGTTCTACAGGAGAGTCTGGTGAGAAGGTACCCGACACGAGCAAGACGCTGCAAGCTGACCAGACGCAGACACCTGACCTAACGCAACCACCTGTGCAGACGCAGTGGTCAGTGTGTACAGACCGGACCCAGGCTGACGAGTGAACGTAGCAAGGTGACGGCCAGTCCGTGAGCACTTACAGATCGCCACACGCTATCCTCCACGAATGAAGGTGTCAACCCATTCATCCTGGAAAACTGCGTAGCTCAACAAGTTCGTCGAGAACGCGGGGAGGTGGATACCTGAGAGAGACCTGGAGGGGACTGCCGGAGATGGGAGGACAGTGGAGACTCGCGCAACTACTGGGCCCCCAGTGGGGTCAGCTAGTGAGACTAGGACAGGTGCAGCGAGTGGTGTGACTGTGGTGCAATCACGAAAGAAGCAACATGACGCGCCTGAGTCAAGTGTGAAAGTGTGCAAGGCCTTAGCTGTGGCAGTAGACGCACTAGCACCTAGAGCGTCGGCAGAATCACGAGCACCTAGAGCTGCAGCAGACTCACTAGCACCTAGTGCGGCAGCAGACTCACTAGCACCTAGAGCATCAGCCTCTACAGAATTAGGGACACATCGCTGAGAAACCAACTCACTAAGCAGCTGTGGGGAGAAGGTCTCCTGCTGACTCTGCTGCCGCCGCTGTGCAGTTTGCAGAAAACCAAAGCCTCCACCACCTGGACGGGCTCGCTGAATAACCCACTCGCGAAGCTGCTGCGGGGATAGCGTGTCTGGGAGAGGCAGTGGCTGCTGCTCTCCACCCTTAGCCGCTGCGACTACCGTGATAGTGGCCATGACAGGCACTGGCAGTCAGTAGCGGCGGCGAAAAGGCAGTAGTAGCGACTGTTGAAGTGACTGTGGAGGTCAGTAGAGTACGTGGGCAGCATAGCACAGGCTAGCGCAGTAACAGCACTAGTGCCAGTAGTGGCAGTAAGAAGCAGCAGTAGGACAGTGCGGCTCAGCAGAGGCAGGGCAGCGCGGCTCGATAGGGCACAACGCAGTAGTAGCAGCGTGTGAAGCAGCAGCGCGCTGTGCAGCTGGGCGCGCTGGGCAGCTGGGCGAGCTGGCGCTTTTTTTTAATAATAATAATAATAATAATATGATTACATTATTATTATTATTCTTATTCTTATTATTATTATTATTATTTAGGGTTGCGGGGCGCACTGGTGCGCTTAGCAGCGCGGCGTACTGGCGCGCTTCGCAGTGGGGCGCGCTAGCGCGCTGCGCTGCGGGGCACGCTGGCGCGCTGGGCTGCGGGGCGCTCTGGCGCGCTTAGCAGCGGGGCGAGTTGGCGCGCTGGGCTGCGGGGTGCGCTGGCGCGTTTAGGGATGTGGGGCGCGCAGGGCAGGGGCTGCTCGCGGGCAGCAGGGGCGCTCAGGGCAGGGGCTGCTCGCGGGCAGCAGTGGCGCGCGGGGCAGGAGCTGCTCGCGGGCAGCAGGGGCGCGAGAGGCAGGAGGTGCTCGCGGGCAGCAGGCCGCGCATGACAGCAGGGCAGCGTGCTAGGGCAGGCAGTGCGACTAGCTGCAGGGCAGCGTGACACTGTGCAAGAGGGCCGGACAGCGCAAGGGCGCTTCGGGTAGGAACTAGCGGAACGATCGGTGGGCCCTAAATACCTAACAGGTTTCCTGTTCTGAATACCATGTCAGAATCAACTGTGCAGGAATGAATGAACTATGAATGAGTTGAGTACAAGTACTAACCCTAAAGTGTTGTACCCCTTGTAAGCTAACCGACTATAGTAGCTTAAAGAGAACGCAAACATATAGTTAGACAGCTCGTGCCGAGCTGCGACTTGAACCGAGCCACGTTGCACGTCTTGGTGAACCACAACCTGTTTCAGTTTACCAGTTCAGAGGCAGGCAGTTGCGGTGCGGATGTTTAGTGACCCTAACACTTCCATATATTTGAATGAACTGTACATTAATACATCAGATATTCCTGCCTACTTTCCCGCAGGCCCTAGAAAATTAGCGACTTTAGCGAACACATCATTATGCACATTCTCGCCGTAGATCAAATCGAAGTGCGAGTACAGGGGAACCTCCACATGCTCCAACCACCGGCTCGTGCCGAGCTGCGACTTGAGCCGAGCCACATTGGCAGGGTCGGCGAACCAATCATTGCTCCCTGAGATGATCAGGACCGGAATGTTGGTCGGCAAACGGCTTGGATAGTACTGGTCGAGTGGTAGAGAAGCAGGGTGCACGAAAAAATGGAAAGGGTGTGTGTGGAGGGGGGTGGGGAGGGGAAGAAGGGGGAGAGAGAAGAAGAGAGAGAGGGATGGTGAAGAGAAACAGAATCAAGGACTCGGATGTTGGTGGTCGGGCGACTAGGGTAGAGCTGGTAGAAGGGAGGGAGAGGGATTGGTGGGGGTGGGAGTGGGTTTGGGTTTGGGCATAACGGAGGTTGGGATTGGAAAGCACAAGCAGGGGAGTGTGCATACGGACGACTGTGCTTATAATGAAGGGCTCTCTTACCAGAGGGGGGGTGGAAGAGCCGTAATTGGCAGTGTTGGCCTGTGCTGACAGGAAGTCCCACAGCTGAAACTGGCGATCTCGGATCTCTGATTAACACAAAAGGGCGAAGGGGGTTGAGGGCGAGGGGGTTGTTAAACCCCCTTATACAGCTTTTAACGAGTACAGCTAGCTACTAAAGAGTACAGCTAGCTATTAGCGAGTACAGCTCGCTACTGACGAGTACAGCTCGCTACTAACGAGTACAGCTTGTAACGAGAAAGATTTTGAGGAGAACAGGTTTCTCACCTTGCTGGTAGTGGATCAGCGCCCGGTAGGAAGTGGCCACCCACTGGGGGTTGAGAGCAAGAGGGGGGGCGTTAGGGTCCATGCAGCAGATGGGGCCTGGGGGGGTAGAGGGGGGGAACAGAAGGGGAGAGGAGGATGGAGGTGAAGGGGAGGGGGAGGTCGAGTATCAGGGGGAGAAACGGGGAAGTGGCCACCCACAGGGGGTTGAGAGAGCGAGAGGCGGGGCGTTGGGGTCCATGCAGCAGATGGGGCCTGGGGGAGGGGGGGAAAGGGGGGGAGGGGTGTGGAGGGAGAGTTGAAGGGGAGAAATGGGGAAGTGGCGACCCACTGCGGGTTGAGGGCGAGGAGCGGGGCGTAGGGATCCATGCAGCAGATGGGGCCTGGGGGAGGGGGAGGGGGAGTGGGAGAAATGGGAGAAGAGAGAAACGTGGAAGAAATACTTTGAAGGAATTGGGGGGTCTAGGACGAGAGCTGGGACAAAAGGAAGTGGTACAATGTGCCTGTGACAATAGCGAATATGCGATGTGGAGTAAGATATGAAAACATGACAGGTGGTGAGGAGCATTTACCTGTGACGTTACTGAGAATGTCCTGTACATTTCCCGAGGGAGTGAAAACGGTATAGAAGTTAAAGCCCACGCGGCGAAGCGTCGAGACGAGAACCTCCGTTCTGTGTTGGAGGAAAAGGTGCAAGAAACGCCAAAAAAAAAGTTCAGGAATAAGATGAGAGGATATGAGAAGAGATGAGAAGAATCACGGGAAGGGAAGCAATGAGATGCGAGGATGAAAGATGAAACTCATGAAATGAAAAACACGAAGTGTGGAAATGGGCAGAGCACTCACGCTGTGAGGTTGTAAGCTCCATTGAGTAGATGGTTCTGGTAAAAGAACTGCAGAGACAATCAGGGCGAAGTAGAAAAGGAGAAAGAGAAAACGTAAGGCGACAGGAGTAAAGGGAGCACGGAAGGGACAAGCTGGTGAAGGGAACGAACAGGCGTAGCGAGCCTATTTTTGAGTCGACTCAAAAATAGCGACAGGAGTAAAGGGAGCACGGAACGGACAAGCTGGTGAGGGGAACGAACAGGCGTAGCGAGCAGCCCATGGAGTCCAGTCTAGGCAATGAGAGGATGGGAGAGAACATGTGCTGCCCATACCAGCAGTAGTGACAGAGGCAGCAGAGCAGGGCGATACACTGGCCAGCTGAGGAGCAGCACTCACGATATCAGGGCTCCAGTTGTGCTTTTGAGTCGACTCAATAGCTGAGGAGCAGCACTCACGATATCGAGGTTCCAGTTGTGCTTTTGAGTCGACTCAAAAGCTGAGGAGCAGCACTCACGATGTCGGGGTTCCAGTTGTTGGCTCAGGCGTCCAGCACCGAGGAGGTGATGTTGACGAGGTGGGGGATGGGAGCAGACGATGGGGTGAAGTGTGTGGTAACACAGAGCACAGCAAGGCACTGCTGATAACAAGAGGGAAGAGAGAGCACTTACGATGTCAGGGCTCCAGTTGTTGGCCCAGGCGTCCAGCACCGGGGAGGTGATGTTGACGAGGTAGGCGATCGGAGCAATGGCAGCAACAGAGGCGATGGTTTGGCGGGTGTATTCAGGGTAGGTGGATGCGAGGGCGAAGGGGAGCATGGCACCCTGATTGGGGGGTGGGAGAAGGGGGGAGGAATGGTACATTACAGGGGAGAGCGTTTATCAGTGGGAGTCACAATAGGGACAGAGGCGACAGTCTGGTCTGGCGGGTGTATTAGGGGTAGGTGGATGCGAGGGCGAAGGGGAGCATGGCGCCCTGATGGGGGGAAGGGAGGGGGTAGTAGGGGGGAGGACAGGGGGGGGAGCGGGTGAGGCCTGGAAGGGATCAACAGCAGTAATGGGTGGGAGCTACGGCAGCGACAGAAGCCACTGTCTGGCAGGTGTATTCAGGGTAGGCAGATGCGATGGCGAAGGGGAGCATAGCGTCCTGATGGGGAGAGGGGAGGGAGTGGGGTGGGGAGAGGGGAGGCATGGGGGGGAGCGGGTGAGGCATGGGAGGGGGCAACAGAAGTGACAGAGGCGACTGTCTGGCGGGTGTATTCAGGGTAGGTGGATGCGAAGAGGGGCCGTACCTGGTTGTACCCCACGAGGTGCACTTTGGGGGAGGCGGTGACGGTGGTGATGACTCGCAGCACAGCAGGCAGGTCGAATTGAACCAGCCGGTCGAAGTCCCAGTCCCAGTATTGCTGTGGTTCGGAGGGGTGGAGAGGGATGGAACAATGTTTGGCAGGCAGGTCGAGCTGAACCAGCTGGTAACGATGGGGCATGGTTGTGAGGGGTGGAGATGGATGGAACATGCGTGTTTGAATCGACTCGCACCACAGCAGGCAGGTCGAACTGAACAAGCTGGTCACGATCCCAGTCCCAGTATTGCTATGTATTGCTCACCCGTTGCAAGGGTCAACTATAAGGGAGCAGACGAACAACTAGCAATTAACCCCACCCTCCAACTCACCCACTGCTCAGTCGTGTAGGTGACGTGGCGGGGGGATTACTCGGTGCAGCAGTGGTTAACCACCCACACAAGGGGCAGGCGGACAACAAGCTATCATTCTCACTCATGCTCTCTCTTACTCACCCACTGCTCTGTCGCATAAGTGACGTGATGGGGGGAGTACTCGGTGCAGCGGTGGTTAACCACCCACACTTCCACACAAGGGTCAATAAGGGAGCAGACGAACAAGCAGCAATTTACCCCACTCTCCAACTCACCCACTGCTCAGTCGTGTAGGTAACGTGGCGCGGAGAGTACTCGGTGCAGCGGTGGTTAACCACCCACACGTCCATGCCTCTGTTCGCTAGAATCACAGGCAGCCTCTTGTACGCGATAGGGTCCACTGTGACATTAGAGAGGCCGAACCAGAGCTCGCCCCCCAGTATAAGCCCGTGGTCTAGAAGCACAGGGTAGGGAGTAGGAGAGGAAGAAGAGGAGGAGCGGGTAGTGGTGGTGGTGGGAGCAGTTGTTGCTGCAGGTGTTGCTGCTGCTGCTGCTGCTGCTGCTGCTGCTGCTGAGATGGATGCGTTATAAGCAGTTGCGTTAAGGATTCGCTGGAAGTTGAGGATGTAACCGTCAACTGTGGTAACCTGTGACGTGGCACAATGATATTGGCAAGCGAGAGGGTTATGGGGAAGAGAAGGTTGAGGGAGTGGGTAGTAGAGACAGTGGGTAGTAAAGAGCGACAGTGTAGTGAGTGAGGAGGTAGGAGGGAGAAGGAGAGACAGATGGGGAAACAGAAGGTTCGGGAGAGACTTATGAGCAGGAGAACGTGTGTGCGAGCGAAAAAAGCGGGAGGGAGAGGGAGTGGAGGGTGGAGAGAGAGAGAGGAAGAGGAGGAAGAGGAGGAAGAGGAGGGAGAGGGAGAGGGGGATGGGGAAGAGCTAGATAGACGATGGTAAGCCCGAGGTAGCGCATGTAAGGGCTACAAAACATTCCCGACATGGTGTGTACACGTTACAAGGTAAGGAAACAAGCGCAGGGTAGATTGTACGTGATACTCGCGGCAGGAGAGCCCGAGGTAGCGCACGACGGTCACAAAACATCCACGACATGGCGTGTATGCGTTATAGAGTAAGCCCAAGGGGTAAAGTGTACCTGATACTCGCGGCAGGTAAGACCGAGGTAGCGCACGTAGCGGTCACAGAAGTTGGACTCGTACTCCTCTCCGTTAACCGCGGCGGAAGATGCGGCGAGCACGAGGAGGAGGAGGAGAGAGAGGAAGGAGAGGGAGAGCGGCATAGAAGCCGCCATACTTGAGCGTCTAAGGAGGAACCTTCCGCGAAGTGAAGAATCGGCCGCGTGCGGAAAGCGGGTAGGAGGATGGTGAAGCGGGGGTTGGATCCTCTTCGTTCCTGGACCCCGGTCTAATGCGCTGGAGAATGGTTTGATGCGGCGGAGAAGTGGTTCGAGGCGGAGAAAATGCTCCGAAAGGTTGAGTGGACCGAGACGGATGAAAGTGGTGAGAATTCATGGTGGAGATTTGAAGGGTTTTATATCGATTTTCAGACGCCGAAGCGCGGAAGGGAATTCTAGCCAGGCTGTCGCGCGGCGCGGATTCCGATTTCTACGGCCTGCTGTCTCGCGTCAATATGCTAGTTGGGAAAGTACGGCGAATCGTAGCCGTTGAAATTTGTGATTGACGGTGACAAGCGCTGGCGCGATTGACGTCAGAAGTCATAAACGTGCCACGTCGGTAAACCAACAGTAGGTGATCTGAGAGTTTTGCTCGGTCTACTTACGAGGTGACAACTAGTGTCACGTCCATTTAGGAGAAAGTCAACGTGAATTACAAGGTCGCAAAAAACAAACATTTTCTTTCTATAGCCGAAAAATGACAGATGGTTTTTACTAGAAGTCAGAGGAGGAATGTTAACGAGGAAAACAAGACCAGCTCGGTCAAGTCCACTTGGGATGTTTGTGGCGGGATAAGCTCCCGCCACAAACTCAAGGGTTCTCGAGAGTGCTCTGAGGTCGATGTGTGAAGATGTCCCCATGGTCCGCGGGACCACATTTTCCCGCCAAAAACACTGTCAAGATAGGCAAGAGGAGTGCGCCACCTGCATCTGGCCCAGCACGCCAGCTTTGATCCACAATCAAGGGCCCACCACACCAGCCACATATCCAGCCGAACCGCCAATCTTATCGGAATTACACGTGTATCCCCTCACTGCCAGGCTGACGATAAAAGACACGATGATGAGGTGTCACATAAATTTTGTGTGTGAGGGAGGGTTTGTGAGGATGCCGCGTAAGTGGTGCATATGTGACCAGGCGTGGTCCAGGTTGCCGTGACGTTGCCAGGTTATGGCAATCAGCCCAGCCCACGGCGACCTGTGGTTCCAGATCTATTGTGCCCCTTTCTTTCAGGGCGTGTAGAATTTTGATGGATGTCGGCGGATGTCGGCAAATCCTTACGGTCGGAATCTCCGATCTGAGGGCCGATATGTATCGGCCCAAACGGATGTCAGAGGATGTAGACGTTTCACTTCGGACACGCCCTCACTCTCTATTATTTTCTCAGGCACTTCTCTACAGTAACTCGACTCGACGTGCACGTGCTCTGTTTCTTGCTCCCTCATGTATCCAATAAACCCAGCCTTACCAAACACAACCGACTTAAACCAGCAGTACCTTATGGACCACAAATATTTCACGTCAGAAGTTCTAAGTGGGGTGCAAAGTACACTTCATATTGGCGCACACAAACTACGGTTCCACTCAAATACAAGTACAGACTGGCGCACATTTTTTTCCTGAAATAAGCCCTTGGAACACTTCAACGCAGGACTGTGTCTGCTTTCCCACCTACATACAGACAGGTTTCACGTTGGGCTCATCCTCATGGCCACCTCTAGCATCATAACTACTGTTGTGGTGCAAGGACTATGGCTGCCTCGATGCTCGATGCACTGTAGTGTGCGAGGCATTTGGCAGCAATTTTGATCTTACAGAATGCCCACTGGCTCTGATCGTAGGCGGAAACGGCTCCTGTCTCAGCTTCGACAGTGGGGTGGGAGGGAAGGGAACCGAAGGCAGTCGCGACTCGCAAGGCAAGCGAACGTGCAACATCGCCGGCATTCGTTTCCGAAAGTGACTGTCGGGTATGTCGAGAAATGTCATTCGTCGGATGTTTGAATCGGACGAACGACATTTCACGAAGTCCCTCCTACGTTGTGGGCGGCACCTTCGGTTCCGAATCATGGCGTGAACCGCCACCGCCCTTTAGATTCCGCGCGGTCCAGTGAGGGAACGCGACTGCTCTGCCTCGCTCACGCCGTGCTCTGCCTCCCACGGCCTTGCTTTGCTCCGCTATCATCCTTCCCCGCCCATCCCCAATTCCAGATCCCCAGGATCCCCGAGTTCCTCCCCATTCTCCCCTCCCTCCCCACCCCATGGGCCAGCCAGTCCTCACTTCCCGTCGCATTGTAACACGAGCAAGCGTGCCGCAGTGTGTGACCCTTCTCACACACACTCCTCCGTGCCCCTCGCTCGCGCTCTCTGCCGCCGCGCGCTTGAGCTGCAAATGCGCCGCGTCGTTGCGCTGCTCCGCGCGTTTCCCGGTCTTGCGTTGCTCTGCACTCCGCTGCCGATGTTGCTTTGTTCGCGCGCTGCGCGTGCTCTGCGCCCCCTCAGTGCTAACTTGGCGCGCTTGCGCACGTCACGAAGTGGTCGAGATTCGGAACGGAAGTGGAGAGAATCGACCTGTTGAGAGAGTCAAGTCAACTTGTTCCCTTAGTCCCACTCTGGTCACACCACCGTTCACCCTGAACTCTAGGCAAAAAGGAAATCCTTGTTACTGCTCTCAAATGCTCACGAGCCGAGGCGCTTTCTCATATTTTCCAAGTACGGTCATATTTTCTTTCTTCTCACCCTATTTAAGGCCTTTATCTCTGCTTAAGCTAGTACATCGCTGTCGATTGCTCAGCAAAAGACTTGCTAAAAATGGTGACTCTTTCGCGTGTCCCCGCTACAAAAACCGATGACGACCCATCTCGGCTTGAGTCGCCGCCGCCGCTCGCCACTGCCGCTACTAACGACTTGGAATCGACAGCTGAAACAGGCGCCCGTGCTTATGGAGTCAGCACCGAGGCGTCTCGCGCGGGCCGTGACGAATTTTCGTCCCACGCATTCTATCATCGCTCGCCGCTCGCTGTTCTTGCGACGAGTACTACCACTCACGGCGCCGCCGCGGCGAACGAATCGCTGCATTTCGGGGGTCACAATTTTAATTATGCGACTACTTCCAATTCGAGCTCGAGCCGCGTCGCAGAATCGCGTTCTGGGAACAAGGTGCGGCCTGACGCTGAAGTGACTCCAACGAGAGCGAGGAGAGACGGGGGATTGGAATGGGCCGGGGGTGAAAAAGAGAGCGGGAGGAAGTGGGGGGGTGGGGGAGATGGGGGGAGGGGGGGAACGGGGGGGGATTGAGGGGGAGGAAAGGGGGAAGTCTAGTGGAAATTTGACTTTTCTTGCAAGCTTCAGATCCAAATTCCAATTTCCAGCTCCATCACCCACCTTGCGCCTGAACCCCATCATTCTCAATTTGCCCCGATTTTCCCCTTCGATGTCCGACTTTACAGAGACCACACGCATCCGCGTTTTCCGTTGTCGCGGAACACGAGAAGATGGAGCAAAGAATGGTGAAATTGTGCAAATCTACGAGTCCATGTCAGCAGACATGCAACGCAATCACAGCCATTGACAACGATTCTTCCAGGCGGTCACACGCAGATGTGGCAGATTTCCATCCGAACCAGCTGGAAGCATTCTCCATACAAGCGGAACTTGCTTCCGCATTCGGACTTCCGAGCGGACTTTCTACACCGCTTTCCCCTGACATCACGTCCAGATCTCTGATTGAAAATTCAGTCGGATTTTCAACACCATGTGGAATTCAGCACCGGATTCCTCCGCCAGATAGGTGTCCAGGTGCCCCTTGGAAGGCTCCACGCCGCGAGCTAGTTGCACATCACAGCTGCACGTGTGTAAACACAACTAACTTGGGCACTGGGTGCAGGTGGGGATGTATGGGGTTTGAGACGGGGAAGCGCCCCATGCAGCGCAATGTTCAACGCCTGCGTTCTGATCCCCCAGCTTGTTTCATCCCTGAAAATGACGCAAGGACTCGGTTATCGCCCTCTCAAAGCACTCCTGTGCATACCTCAACGTCTACTTCCTCAACCCGGCGTTTTTCTATGGCTGTGAGGTCCACACATGTTTACAGAGGTCCTGTGACGTATGCCAATGTTGACAGTTCGCCTACTGCAGCCGTAAGTGACAAAGGAGTACCTTTGAATGAGGTGCCGCATCCTTTTAGCAGCCTAAGGAGGCTATTTCGTCCTCTGGATTTTGGCTGTGGTACAATATTGTGCTGATGATTGTGTATACGTGAAATTGTAGTTTTTGTGCTGAAATGAAAACCCAAGTGGCTCGTGGGGTGGGTGTGTGTGAATGTGATCCATATAATGCTTACGTTGCCTCATCATTATTGACTATCGTTGTAGCCTCGCCATTTGTGAGGTTATTGTGGGAGATTGTACCGTATGGCCCCGGATATAAGCGCAGGCCTATTATAAGCGCATGCGCTTGTGTCTGGAGCAATGCGCTTATGGCCGATCCTCATTTATAAGCGCACCCCCTGTAAAACCTTGATTTATTATAAGCGCACGTATAATTCTAAAATTTAAACCAGATAAAAACGGTAGCAATTTCAAATTTTGCAGTGAGGATACAACTATTTTCGCTTTGATTGACTTTCGAGGACCTCACATACTGCGCGTCCAGTCAGTATGAGCTGGCATTTCTGATAGTGACGTGTAAATTTTCCTCTGTGCGCCGGCAGAAAATCGCTCATGCGCGAATCTGAACTGCGACTCGCTACCACTTCGATTCGATTGAAATCACAAGCAGGATATGTACAGTTTGGTGCCAATGAATTATAAATTTGCATTTTTATTATATAAGCGCATGCGCTTATAAATCTGACTCAATTATAAGCGCACCCCCCCAAAAAACACTGTTTTATTATAAGCGCAGGTGCGCTTATTGTCAGAACATATCTATAGCTTATACTGCTGTGTAGGCTGTAGTGGGGTATCCCATAGGGGGTACAACCCAGTTAGGGTTTCATATTTGTACTGCTTTCATTCATAGTTCATTCATTCCTGTTTTTTCCGATTCTGACATGGTATAGAGCGGGTCCTACCTTAGGACCGTTGTCTGGGCCCACCGACGCGCGCCCCGAGGCGCGC